ATCTATCTATCTATCTATCTATCTATCTATCTATCTATCTATCTATCTATCTATCTATCTATCTATCTATCTATCTATCTATCTATCTATCTATCTAAATTACTATATATACTCTTAAAAATACTCCTAAAAGTCGACAACCACTTGATGGCACACAATCAATATATTAAAAAAATTAAAAGCCGTCGCCCTTATTCTCTCGCATAATAAATAGCGACGGTATCCGAGAGTTTAATCGCGGGAAGAACCGAAAATTATGGCGCCCCCGAGGCCGCCGGAGCCCTGGCACGAACGGCCTTGAAAAGCCAAGTCTCTCGCCAGCGGGTTTCCAAGGGCTTTCCAGGGGAAACCGCGGTAGGAAATTATTGCACGAGACCCCCCCACCCCCACCCCACCCCACCCCACCCCCCAAGGCGAGAGGCGTCGGAGGGATGTATGGAAAAAACGCTTGACTCCCCCGCCCGCCCTTGTCTTTCAAAGGCATTTGACATTAAAATAAAACGGAGAATGGATCGCGCCTTCTCCCCCGGCCGCAAATTTCCAAAGGCGAACTCAAAGTTGTTTTTCTCCCCCCCCCCACGCTCCACAACGAGTATAAGCCCCATTAAAAAATTCCTTCCTAATTGATGGGGTTTTCGGCTTTCCAAGGGGGAGGCTTTTCGCCCCCGATTCCGAGACTCGGGGCGCCCCGATAGATTGACCCGGAGCTTAACACGCGTCGGGCTGGAGAAATCTTCAGAACGAGGCTCCCTCTGGATCCGGTCAGTCCCCTTTCTCCTGGTCTCTAGCCCTCGGCCCAACCGGGCAGGGTTAGAGTTGGGGGGCCCATGGAGAGGACCTGGACAAGGCCAGTCGGAAGGGGGGAGGTTGTGGGATTGGCGCCCCCCTTCCGATATTAGAAGTCAGCCCCCCTCCTCCTTTTCTTTTTGGCCCGAGACCGGATTGCTCTCCTCGTCAAACATTCCGGGAGGGGGGGTGTGTTGTTACCTGCAAAGGTGGTTAACCCCTTCCCTCCTCCTCCGCCTTATCTCAGAGGAAGGAGAGAAGGGAAGCTAAAATCCAAATAGAACCGGTTTGGCGGCGGCGGCCTCGGGGACACCCGGCGAGGCAGCCTCGCAGCCAAGCCGGGAGAAAGAGAGGCGAACAAGGTTAGAGGGGGGGGGGGGGAAGCAACCAGCCTCGCCCGCCGGCGGCGGCGAGCATATTGTCGGCTGCCTCCTGGCCTGCTCCCCTCCAGGCTGGGGAGGCCGAGAGAAAGGAGAGGAGAGGGGCGGAGAAGAAGCGCCTGGCTGCCTCTCGGAGGGAAGGAGGCGAGCCAAGAAAGAGCCGCGGTGCGCGCGCCCTGGAAGAGGCAAGAAAGCGCGGCGCCGCGCCGCGCCCTTCCCCTTCCCCTCCCAGCTGGGAACGCGCCCTGGAAGCGGGAGGAGCGCGCCCTCGGGCTGGCATGAACCCCGGCTGGGCGGAGAAGGGGAGAAGCAGCCGGCAAAGCCAAGCCTGGCTTTGCGCGCACGGGTTGACTTGGCCCCGCTCCGGGGAGAAAGAGCGCCCAGTTGGACGCGGGGAAGGGCAAGACCTCCCCTTAACTGGAGCCCGAAGCCTGGGTCTCTAAGGGGGCGGGGGAGAAAGGAGGAGGAGGAGGAGGAGGAGGAGGAGGAGGAGGAGGAGGAGGAAGGGGGTGGGGTGTGGGGGGGGAAAAGGTGGAGCGCGCGCGGCTGGAGCGTGCGCGCTCCGGCTCGAACTTGGCCGAGCGCAAAAGCGCGCAGGAGCGCAGGAGGAGGCAGCCGCCAGGGAGGCGCGTTCCGGGCGCCCTTCTGAGGGCGCGCACGCCGCTGGCCGGCCGGCGGAGTGGCTGGCTGGCTGTTCGGGGTGCTATAAGTGGAGGCGGGCCGCGACGGGGCGGCCCAGAGCCCAGCGAGAGGGAGGGAGGGAGGGAAGGCAGGGCGGGCAGGCGAGGGAGCCAGGCCGGCCGGCGGCGCTTGGGTGCCCTCTCCGCCCTCCTCCTTCTCTTCCTCCTCCTCCTCCTCCTCCTCTTCCTCCTCCTCCTCCTCTCCTGACACACTCTCTCTCTTTCTCCCCCTCTCTCTCCCTCTCGCTCTTCCTCGCCTCCTGCCTGGAATGATCTCAGCCGTCTCCAGCCCGTGGCTCACGCAGCTCTCCCACTTTTGCGATGTTGCAGCTTTCACCGCCAACAGCCTGAGCAGCTTCAACTCGGCCGCGGCCGCCGCGGCGGGCTACCCCCACCTCCCGCCCTCCCCGGCTGGAGAGACCTACGGCCAGCATGAGCCGCCGCCGCCGCACTACGAGCCCTGCTCGGCCCAGCCGCCGCCTCACCACCCGCCGGCCCAGCAGCAGCAGCACCAGCACCACCAGCCACCCCACCACCACCACGGCCAAGCGCAGCACGGCGGCTACTCCTTCGCGCCCGGAGCGGGGGGCAACAACCCAGCTCCTCCGGGGGGCTCCGAGGCTCCCGAAGGAGGCGGCGGTGGCGGCGCCGGTGGAGGAGGAGGAGGAGGAGGAGGAGGAGGAGGCGGTGGAGGAGGAGGGGGAGGAGGAGGAGGAAGCAGCGGATCGGGGTCCGGCTCCGGAGGATCGGGCCCGGCTTCAACCAAGGCTCCGGTCAAGAAGAACCCCAAGGTGGCCAACGTCAGCGTCCAGTTGGAGATGAAAGCGCTCTGGGACGAATTCAACCAACTGGGCACCGAGATGATCGTCACCAAGGCCGGCAGGTTAGTAAGGCCCGGCGGGTCCCTAAAACAGTTGCGTGGGGTGGGCTGTGGGTTTGTGGGGAGGGGGAGAGGAACTCTACTTCCCATGCGTTGGGGGGTGACACTCGGACTCCAGCGGCTTCCCCTCCTTGCGCTTTTTCCAGGCCCCGCTGCGCCTCCTGTGCGCCTTCTTTTGGCGCAGCCCGGGTGCCCGCCTTGCGCGTGGTCTTTGGCGAGGACTCGGCCGACTTTGCGCGTCTTTCCCAGGAATTGGGAAGGCGGAAAAGTCTGGAGGGAGGGGCGCCGTTGCTTTGCTGCGGGAAAAGTGCCGGGAACTGTTTTGGATCGGGAGGCGTTTTGTGGATGCCGAATGCTTGGTGGAGTTTGTCTTACAGTTTAATCCTCCGCGGGTTTTACGCGAACAAAGCGGCGCGGGGGGGGGCCGAAGTGCAGCCGACCGTCTGTGAAGAATGGCTGGAAACCCACAGACACACACACACACACCGATTGTGATTTTATTAACGCAAGGGAACACTGAAAAGTTAATTCCTAGCTAGCCGGTGCCCGACCTCGCTCGCTTTTTCCACCTCCTTAGGCCTCTCCTATTGGTTTCCCTACGGCTCAGCCTATGTCTACTTTTCTCTTCCTAAAGCCCACTTTTTCTTTTCTTTAAATTCGGCCTGGCTCTAAGGGTAGGTTACAAGCTGGGGCAAAAAAACCCATCTTTTAGACACCCCCCCCTCCCCCTGCAAACTCTTGGCTGGGTTTTGGCCCGATGGATCGAAGGCGCGTCTGCAGAGGTTGCAGGAAATGAAAAAACGTAACCCAAGCCGGGGTCGGTAATCAGAAGAGGAATAATTAGCTCCTGGCGATAAGTGATCAGTTCATTAAGGGTAGGGGAAAGATCTCCGGAACCTCCGGTTTCAAAAACCTGTTTTTAGTCCTCCTAACTCGCCGGTGTCCACCGCCTCCCGCCTCCTTGTGTACTTGCGTGTCGCCCTTTTCCTTCCCTCTGGCTGGGGATGATGGGAGCTGCCTCTGGGCACATCTAGAGGGACGGCCTTGGGAAAGGGGTAGGGCGTGTGTGTGCTTTCAAACCCACGAGTGCACATTTTCGTGTGTGGTTTATTCTGTGAGGGAGGGGGTGGAAGCAGGGCTGTCTGAATGCTCTGAAGTTCAAGGGTGCTCAGGATTTTAGACTCGGTTTCCCATCTTCCTTCCTTCCTTCCTTCTGCCAGGTCTCCCTCCCTCCATTCTTTCCTAGTGCCCTGCTTGCTTTCTTTCTTTCTTTCTTTCTTTCTTTTTCTTTCTTTCTTTCTTTCTTTCTTTCTTTCTTTCTTTCTTTCTTTCTTTCTTTCTTTCTCTGTTTTCCTTCCTTCCTTCCTTCCTATACATCAGTATAAAATCTATGTGATCACTAAGACTCAACAAGTTGATGCCACATAATCAAACCCAACCCTTTAGGCATCTGAAGAAGGGACCCCAGTGGTTTGTTCTCCGAGCTTGTTTTAATAATATCATATTAAAACAAGCTTGGAGGACAAACCACAGCCAACATCTAAAACCCGAGCTACGAGTATTTTCTATTATTTCGAGGGATTATTTCTTTCCTTCCTTCCTTCCTTCCTTCCTTCCTTCCTTCCTTCCTTCCTTCCTTCCTTCCTTCCTTCCTTCCTTCCTTCCTTCCTTCCTTCCTTCCTTCCTCGGATAGAGCTTCATTGAAAGTGTCGGAGCGCAGATGGTTTGACCGAATGGAATTGTCCCCAATTGACTGGGCCGCTCCAGTTCTTAGCCGCGCAAAGCTCCCCAGCAAAATCATTCTG